TCTTTCGCAATGTGTCATAATTTTCTGCATTTCTAAAAGTATTTTTTTTGCATAACACAAAAATGTGTGTGTGTGTGTGTGTGTGTGTGTGTTGTATGTGTGTGTGTACATGTAACAGAATTTAATCTAAAAGAATGTTATTTTTGGATCTTTTGGTGCTTAATATGTAATATGTTCATATATAGATTTACATATACATTTTTCAGTTCCATAAACTGCGGCGTTGATTTAAGTTGTCGGATTTCAAAACGCAATTATAAACTGAATGTGAAAGTAACATCACAAATTACACCGTCCAATTAATAAGGATCTCAAAACACTATAAAGAATTTATTGCAAATAATATTACTTTAGTCTTAGGATATTTATAAACGTTTTTGTAAATCTATATTGTTAAATCGAGATTCGATTGAAAACAGAATTCTTTCTCTTATTTTATTTATTCTTATCTCGATCTAATTTATACTTATGATTAACCTTTTTATTTATTATTCTTCAATTGCTGGCTTCGCTTTGCATTCCATCCATTTACGAAGAAAAGTAATTAACCTTGATTTTTTTTCTGTTTCAGCATAAGATTGGCGAAAAACCTAATATACAGTTCCTAGGAAATGATGGGGTGAGTAAAAGCAATGTGTTTTCTTCTTGTTCCCCAAAAATCATATGTCCAACATGTGAAGGAATTGTTGACATTGAGAATCCGACGTCGGTTGGTCGATAATACGCGAGCACGAAAAGATAACAGAAGATTAGAAATAATAAAACGTTCGCGGGTCGCAAACATAGATACCAAGATTTGTAATTTTCCACTAAAAAAAAAAAAGAAAATGTTTTCCATCTTGTTTGTTAAAGAATAGCACATGTCTAGAACGTTTGTCAAAACTATTAACTGTATTACACTTAAATCATCGTGTTTTCTTAAATTGCTGTAACATTAGTACACTGAAGAAAACAATTATTAAATTTTAATAAATATTTATTAAATGTAATATTTACTTGGCAAGAATCATTAATTTGATTTAAATTTTTTATTCTTTTATTGAATAAATATTTATTTACTGTAATAAATAAATCTTTAGTTAATATTATTTAAATAAAAATATTCGTTAAAATTTAGTAAATTTTTTTTCAGTATACATGATAAATCATCGATGATTTTTTTCTTGACTTACTCATAATCGTAAGACGGAGATACGAGATAAGAGTTCAATGACCCGTGTGAGATTGGGGCTCCCACTTTCGAAAAAATTAACTTTCCATAGTTCATTTGATTGTTCATCGTTTGCACATTTCTGGTGAAAAAATTATTGAAAAAACAATTTAAGGAGGACTAAGGATAGACTTATGGCTTACTACACAATATTAATTTCATTGTGGATGGCCTCTTAATCTTATACACTCGTATCTTTATGAATCAACCTGTACATTCGTCCTAAAAATTTCTGCGGTCAAAATAGATCGTGAGGTCAAAAAAGAACCGGATTTCGCTGGTTACTTAAAATATATTCCATAGAATGTAGGAATGGAGGGAGCGAAGGAGAGAAGAACGGTGAAATTTTCTTTCGGCGAAAAAAAAAAAGTGAGAGTGAGAGGTGTGCGACTGCTTCGATCGTCGACTCACGTCGGCATTTTTCTTCTCTTAATTTACCGACACGAACACAGCCATTCAATTATTTAGCAATATTTTATTTCTGTGTTACTTTACCTTTATAGCTGCAAACTGAAGAAATCTACTTTTTCTGTATTTTGTAGATGTAGCTTGCTGCATATCCGAATTACAAATTTTCACTCGTCTATTTGAATATCTACGCGTGACCATCATGACGATGATCGGACGTATCACGTGAAAAAGATCTCGCGACGGTAGCACGATTCCGTGCAACCGACGTCAAGAGCTCGATCTCCAGCCGGCCGAGTGGTCGCAAGATCGTGTGTGTGTGTGCGTGTGTGTGTGTGTGTGTGTGTGTTTGTGTGTACATGTGTCGTCACGGCTCCACACACCGGAGGTTTCCTCAGTGAAGGCGATCGAGGTCGTCCGAGCAAGGTTATACACCATTTTCTCTCGCTGCCGCCACCAATCAGTCTCTTAAACCTTCCTAAACTCTGTCGATCGATACTTTTGCAATGTTATAATAGAAAAGATATAAACAAATATACTTATTTCGTGCCATTTTAGTTCAATTTGTATCTATTCAATCTTAAATTTAATCACAGCATCTTAACTGTAGTATCTTTCAAAATTTAATTCGATCAAATATAATATGAAGGAGCAAAACTTTAAGGCACGTAGTTGGTACAAGTTATCGAGCTGATAGTAACGTTTTTTTTTAAATTATCATTGAGTATGTAAATATTCCATTTCTATCTAAAATCATAATAAATTCGTGTGATTTATCATT